GTCAGTGTCGTGTTCATTAGCTGATTCTGAAGCGCCTACGAATGATGCTTTAGAGCCGTAGCGATGTCTCATGATGGTCTCGATATCAATACAATCGAGAACAAACAATTTAGAGTAAAATGGTGATGATATGTTCGCAAAAAGAATTCTCACAACAAAAACTGATTATCCACACACTCTTCAAATCTTACTGCTTGTTCATGTTTCCATCAAACAGTGGGACACAACACTAAGAAAACCATTAGTACGACGATGATCCTAAGAAAATGGAGGACCCTAAAGCGCTATACAAGGAAAAAATGTGTATTGGTAAACTACCATGTAAAACCAGTTTGAACGATGTGATAAAAGCAAGAGAAAAAGAATGGGTGGGACTGCAACATCCGGAAAACTAGGTGCATTAATTTCGGCAGATTGATTGCAATGATGTTAGATTCCACGTATTTGCACTACACTGCTTGCAATGGAAAAAAACGACTGTTGAAGTTCGTTATCCTAGGCTAGAACCACAAATTGGTTGAATTTGAGCTACAATTACAGTAGAAAGGATATGACATTCTTTGTTTGCAACAGTGGTATTGTGTACACAGCTGATTAATCTATTCTAGAGATCACTGTTTAAAAGTCAGACACATAAGCACACGAACAGAAATGAAAAGGTAGTGCTAGTAAAAGAACTTACATGTCAAGGATCAAGCTAAGCACATTAAATATATTACTATACTGTTTGACACAACTGGAACCTAACTAACTTACTCGGATATTTTTTATCCATATAAATCCTAGGAAAGCAATATAACCAGTAATCTTAGAAAACGCTGGTCATTCACCATCTATAAGTGGCTAAAGTAAAGGAAAACTGAAGACTAATGTTAGTCACCACAAATCAGCATGATGGCATTTCTTTAAAAAATAAGAAGAATGATGGAGAAGAGTTGCTAAGGTGACTAACCAATAATACGGCTGAGCTGCTGGATGGAAAATTTTAGCCTTTTAAAAAGCACAGCAACGCTTTCAGTAAATTCGAGAATAATCGGAATAACAAAACATCGTTGACCTTCGAATCAATCTCATATAATTGCGTGATGGTATTT